TTAATTCAGGAAAGAAAATATGTGTGTTCAAATTCGGCTGTGATCGTAGCAACATCGGGCCATTCGTGAGGGCATCTTAAGCCATCGTATGACCACCGGTGGAGTTTCTCAGGCTCCGGCAGCAACTTCGTGAGCGGCAACTTCGTAAGGCACTCGTGAGGGCATCTTGTCAAGTCGTGTCATCTTCGTGTTATCATCGGTGCATTCACCCTCACTCTGATCGGGGCGAATGCCCGATGGCACCGATGATAACAAGATGCCCTCACGATGGCCTTACGAAGGGCACAATTGACACACGAATTCAACACGAAAATGAACCTTCGCAAGGTCCTTCGGCAATTTTTTGGCATGCCAAAGATTTTGCCACCGCTCACGAAGTTGCTGCCGGAGCCTGAGAAACTCCACCGGCGGTCATACGATGGCTTAAGATGCCCTCACGAATGGCCCGATGTTGCTACGATCACAGCCGAATTTGAACATTTCCTTTATCGTGTGTCCATCGGGTTGTTTTATTGCACAACAAAATCATGTAAATATATTATGTAAATAACCCAATTTGTGTTCTGTGAAACTAAAAAGGATATAATATATTATTTTGAAGGACAGTTGACAGGAAGTTGTTGTTGTTATGGAAACAACATTACGGAGAAAACGTAATATTTTCTACATATAACGACGGATAAAGTAAAGAACAAAGTCTGAAGATATCACTACAGTATCATAGTACTGTAACATAATTGTTTTTGGTACTTTCATTGCAGTTGTATGTCTTAAATGTAATGTAAATGTTGCCTTCGTGTGTGGTTCGGGGCCATCTTCGTGCAAAATTCACAATTCCATATTCGTGTGTCCATCGGGTGTCAATTTCGGGACAGTGTGACAGGGGCTTTATGTTGATATATTTTGTAACAATTTACCTTCAGATGACTTACTTATACATGCAGAATATGAAAGGCCAAGATTATAAAGAGAGGATTGTTTCAACTTCTAAATGTAACATTGTTAAAATTATTTTATATTACTTCAATTTACCATTCTTCTCTGTTCAAACTTTGTTTTAAAAATACTCACCTTTTCCCAAATGTACAAAATGTGTGCTGTTCCTGTCCTAGTGTGCTAACCTTGTGATGACCTAATGAGTGTAAAGCTTCTCTGAGGCAAAAGTGTCTGTGAAGTAGCTCCACTGGCCCAGAGCAATGTGCACTGACCCTTGCTGGAACTTTTTTACTTAGGAAAAAGCTAATGGAAATTCTAATAAATAATGAAAAGATAACATACTGGGAATATGGTGTAGTACATGAGACCTTTAAAGGAAACATGTGCATTTGAGGTTTGTCAGTCCTGCAAAAGAAATACACGCCTGAGCCACTTTTCTGCTATTTTCATGCAAGCTAGGACAAGCTGAAACTGAAGGGTTCATGGTGATGCTTCATTCTAATTTTTAAGTTTTTTTAATTGAATATGCATCATGCCATTTATGCTCATTCAAAATACACTATTCCTGACCCCTAAGGAGGTAATTCACAGTTCAAGCACACATAGCCTAAATAAATGAGTGTTACTGTGCGAGATTACGGTGTTCGGAAGTGCAGTTGGACACCGTGTTCATAATCTGACACTTTTTCGAGTTCACTCTGAGGTCTGATGCCATGCTTCTAACAACCCAGATGATACGATCTTGGAAATGGGAAGTGGCATTTATTTAATTGTGCTTTTATCCTCAGCTGAGAAGACACACTGCACTTACACTGGATCACAAAGGCCAGTGCTATTGGTACTTTTAGTGTAACTTTCATTTAATATTAAGCAACTCTGCTCTACAGTGGAACATTTTGACAAGCTTCATCAATAAGTTATATGAAGACATAAATATTCCCTAACTTCCTAAGACAAACCTTACAAAAGTTAGGGGCCTTACGAACAATGTACCTTACAAGTTGACAGATCTAGCTTGATAACTATCATTAACACAGCACATCCTTATATTTACAATTAAGAAGCTGGTTCAGTTATGATGTATGTGAAGGCTACGATCAGCAGTTTGTGGCAACATAGTCATAAATGTACAACAAACTAATTAAACTTCAACATATATAGTATAATAATGAAATAGATTGAAGGTAGTATTGCCATTTGGGAGATCATGCTGGAGAAATGATGGAAAACAAAAGCTTTGACCTGCTTTTTTTACTATCTGCTATTAAACAAAAGAAACCTTAAAGAATTCACAGGGTGCTATATTGGGAAACTGGCACAGAAATGTAAATGTACAATCGCCACTCCATGGAAACATACAAAACTACTTTAGGCTAAACAGAGTCATTCTATGTTTCAGCAGCACTTTGCATTAATACGTACCTAGAGGGGACTGAGTGATCTTTAATCTTAAAGGTGGGGTAGGTAATTTTGGAGATACCAGCTCGAGTGCGCTAGAATTTGAAAATACACAGCTGGAAAAAATCTGCCACTTCCTTACAGAGCTCCTCCTCCAACACACACGAATGCACACATGACCAATGTCGTGCTTTTTACAGTACTACGGCTTCCACAGATGACATTTTTTTATGGATTTGTTGTCAAAGCACTTAAGATATTCATTGCTATCGGGATGTTAAGAGCATTCCATGGAATATAACAAAAAGTGTATCTCGAGCCGGTTTCTCAAACTTACCTACCCCACCTTTAAGCTTATTTTATTTGTATATCTTTCCAAGATGTAAAGTCCCATAAGAGAGATGAAAGCTGCTCTAAAGTGAAGTCGAAGTGAACGCTTGGGAACCTTGGGAGAACTGAAAATAAAACCCAGGAAGAGACCCCTGTGGATGCTGAGCAAATGTTTGGTTAACATATAGAGGGTTTGCCCTCTTGCACTCTCCAGTGGTTGAGTGGTCTTACTATTTCGTACATTTTTATGTTTTATTTCTTAAAATTGTGACACACGATATTACCTGAAGCCAGACTGTTTTTAATGACAACAAGCACAGGTTATTACTACGTTCATGAGCTTGACATACAGTATTGTATAGAGGAAACAATGTTGTACTCAGCAGAGATGACTTATGAGTCACTGAACACTAAGCTCCTTCAGTGACACAGCCATGACTCAAAAGGCACTCATTATGACCATGTCAATTAAAACACAAAAATTACAAAGAACTTACACCAACTTAGTAAACCACTCCACATAAGAGTATCTCGTACCAACAACTGAGTTCAGTGCAACCAGTTCTGTGGTCTAGACTGCTGTAAAAGTATACTATTGACTGTCAATCAAATGATCAAAATAAGCAAAATAATTAAATATTTCTGACACTAATGACAGTTGATTATAAGCAACAGCTTTTCAATCAACAACTTTATTAATCCCGCAAGGGGTAATTGGTTATGAGCAGCTGTCATATACACAGGCACTGGCAGGAACATACAGGAAGAAAGCACACAGATACACCCGGGAGCAGAGATGTGGATCATTCCAATTTACACGATAAATAGTTCATAGCATCACAATAATAAATAATCAAGTTAAAAAGCCTTTCAAGAATTTAAAAGTTTGAGTGCAGAGGGGATGAATGATTTTGAAGAGCAATTTGTCTTAAGAGCAGGTAGAGCATATCTATGCCCTGATGGCAACAGATGACATTCATCTGCAAGAACAAGACCTGTTAGCTTGTCTCTAAACAGGATGTATGAATAATAATAATAATAATAATAGAAGTAGACAGTATTAAACAATTGCCTCAGTACTGACATCACTAGACTCTGCCAACCTCATCAACTCACATTATGTAAGTCATTCATTACGAACAGAAATGACCCTCCCAATCGGCTGACAAAAGGCCTTTAGGCGACATGAGCCAATCTCATGTGTCACCATTGTTTGCAAACAGTTCAGAAATTCAATACTTCGAGAGAATGATTCAATGATTGGTCAAACATGGCAGAGGACACATCACGCTAAGGCCCCTGGCGAGTGTGGGCCGCTCACAGACTGGATTCATTGGCTACGTCACACTTTAAGCGTGACTATAGCCGCTACTGCTTGAGTGCAACCAATCCATACTGATAAAACAGACTAAAGGGGAGGTTTTCCTCAATTGCATTTAGTTTGGGTCACAACAGAATCTGGTACAGAACGTCTAGAACAGCAACACTGGAGGTCTAGACCAAGAAACGAAGATGATCCTCTCTACAGGAACTAACCTTTGCAGATGGTCACTTGAACAAAAAGAAAGACTACATCTGATTCCTGGGTACTGCATTGAAAACCTGTCAACTTTATTTTGGATTAGAGAGAGGATTATAATGTCACAGTCAACAAAGATGGCTAAAACTGGAGTGGAAATTTAAACAAGTTGAACTTACTGAAATTAGAGCTATGCTGGATCCCGAAAGATCATTTTGAATGTTTACGTTTATTTTATTGTTCTTGACTGTGGTCAAAGACACCCTACAAGGTAAATGCATTTCTGCCACTTGTATCTATGACCTTATCCTTTCAGTCACTACATACAGAACTACATTTCAGCCATTCAATGTCTCCTTTTTTTACCAGGTAGATGACCAGTGTAAATCTCAGAAAAGCTCTTTTCTACTCCTGGTTCCTTTCCATTGGGAGCTTTCTGGTTATGTGTAACCTCTTCGGAAAACAAAGGTTATTAGTCCTAAAATTTGGCCCTTTCCAGAAAGAGGCATATGTGTCGTGTTCAGAAGTTGCTCAAGTGTTCCTTCCACACTGTCCAGTAATATCCCCAGTCAAGGAAAACCAACAGGCCATCTTTATGAACTTCCCAAACTGCTTCCAAGTTTGCTCGTGCGACAACAGAAGCTTCTAGACTCCAAATTCGAGTCTGCTGCTTCATAAATCTGTTGGGCAAACCAAGCCTCAAAGCTTCACTCTATAGCATGACAACCTACTTCAAAAGTGGTAGGAGGTACTGACAAGATAAGCACCTGGCCCTTCGCCAGGGACACATTTGCGAAATGAAATGGAATAAGGTTACCTGGTTGGTCGTCCTCGCTGCAGGCTTGTCCTGGTGGTTGGCGAGGATGAGGAAGGGCAGTGTGCAGAGCTGCGGGTGCTGCAGGGCCGAGTGGAGCTCGTTCCGTGCTGCTTCGAGCTCCTCATCCGATGAAGCACTGTCCAATACGAAGACTACGCCCTGTGATCCTTGGTAGTAACGACTCCAATATTTCTTGATGTTGTCAGCTCCTGTAGACGGATATGACGCCATAAATGATCATGGTACATACAATTTATTAAGTTAAACATCCACAGTACTTGTTACACTTTATAAATAAAAAAACACTTAGCTTTGAATTATTAAGTTCAAACTACATCTTTTCCTGACAAACCAGGAAGCTCAGCAGCTCCTAAATTCCTTGTTAAGACACAGGAGTGGATAGTCGAGCTAAAGTCAATTCATAAACTCACTGGATTATTCAAAGATCACAATGACATTAACTTGAAAATGAACGCATGTGGTTCCTTTTCTGTGTGCTAACATGTAGCAAGTGTGTTAATCAAAATGGTTTATTCACAGCAACTTTATTTGTTATGTAATGTAAGATATTAGAGGAGGCATCTATATCCTTACAAAATGTGTGAGTAGAGTCCCTAACACCTCCTCTGCTTCCACTACCGGCCCCTCCTCTCTCCTTACTGACAGTGACGCCAATGCTTTTGTAAAGGAAATACATTTTCTTAGACATTATTTTGACCTTGAAGAAAAAATAATGCACATTTTCCTCAATGTAATGATACCTGGTCAGGATCTTGCCAAGTCCCATGTGCTTCATAGGATATGTAGATACTAACCCCACAACAATTCCTCAACTAAAGCAAAACATTTCCATGGGATAAGCAGACCTTGTTGGGGTCAGTTCCCTACTTAGGACCTTTCCTTAAACTGTAGCAGTTTTCTACCTGAGCTGCAACACTAAAGATGGCTTAATGTCATCCTAAAAGTGTCCATCCTTTCACAATCACATCTCCAATCTTTTTCACTTAACCAGCAGTGAGAAAGGTTAGTTTGTGCTTCTATAGAACATTTTTATCATATTACTATTCAACCCGGGAAGATAAATTGTTCCTTGTAAGATTGGGAATGAATGCCAGATGACAGCTTCTTCTGTTGCCCTCTCTTCATTAATGCCGACAAAATCACTCACCACCACAAACCACGATGTGCTACTCACTTCCTCCGTGTTACTCATGCTACTTTACCATTGGGGCATCCTGCTCCACTTGTGAATTTTGGAATCTATTTTAAATGAACACACGTTTACCACAGCTGCTGCTGATCTTTCATTTTAAACCACAAACAGGAGGTGTCACTAGAGGTAGTATCGCAGATTATCCTTAAACATGGGAAATAAAAAAGATAATAATTTTAAGTGGGTTAAATGTGCCCTTTAAATTTTATTGAGTAAAGCAGTAAGAATAGAGAACATTTAGAGTTAACTCAAGAACCAGAAGTGTGAACCAACACGTTTCTTTTTCATCTCAAATACACCTTGTATTATAGTAAATACGCCATTGTACTTTCAGATTGAAATCTTCTAAAATAAAAACAACAAACAATTATCTTGTCATCTGCTCGTACACTTCGATTACACTTCATTACAGAGTGGAATGCTGTACTTTTTACAAGATGTTTTCCATTAAACCGTTGAAAAGTGTTTGTTCTACACACGCACCAAACTTCTCTGCACCACATACACACAACTACACAATCTCATTGCAAACACAAGTAAATGCAATTGCTTTTACAAGGTTTTTTACTTTCTGTCGTTAAAACAATCCGTTTCCGTCCGGTGAGGTTACTTCCTTTGCAATCTTGTGAAATGTTGTTTTGTTATTGTTGCTCATAGTAAGGTCGCAGCCAAGATGTGACGAACTGTGAGGCTGGCAAAGTTTGAAACATCATCATCTCTCAGTGACATTTTACCTCCCTTCCCTCATGCTCTCCCTACCTTTTTCTTTCTTTCTTTCCTACTCTCACCTCACACTGGAGTGGAAAGCTATCAGACAAAGTGGCACTTGGGCGATTGACTAGGAAGTTTCTATCATCTTTGCCTGGAAATGATGGGATATCCATCAAGTCTCATTGGATCTCATTGGCATCTTCTGCCACCTATTGGCCTGACAGGAGGATTTCCAAACATGACGTAATGATTCTTGGGGGATGCTGCTGGCCGCCCTACTACATAGCATTAAACAAATAAGTGCACCATGAGTAAGACTTCCTTTGCTTTGTTTTATCACTTCCTCACTACTTTTACAACCCTTAAACCTCAATGTATGTCATCTATATATAGTTTGTAATTGTTTAAAAGCTTACGTTTTAAACTTTTGGATTTTCCCAACACATAATTAGCCAAAGGTCAACTGAACAAGAGGTAAAAATAGCATGTCAGTGAAAGTCTTGTCTCTAACGGACCCCGTAAAGTACTGACTCATCGTCTGGATGATTTATCGACTCATTCATTCAATATATGGGTTTAGACTGTGGGTGCAAGCAAAAATAATTGCCTATGTTTTAAAAAGGACTTGAACAAATAATTGGAATGAACTTATTGTACACAGTACGGTCCAATCGTCTGGCATGTTTGGTTGGGTGCACCTGATGGAAGAATCCACAATACTTTCAAGATTTACAATTATTAAATATTTTTCTTGCGTTCCCTAAACTTCTCGTGTCTTCGAACAAGTTACGACTTCCATTTCCCAGAATAGACATCAACATCCTTTCCATTGCCTGGACTGTTCAATGTGCAGAGAGCAACAAAGCAAGCTATCATGTGAGTAATGGCAAAAGAGCAACAATTTCCAGTCAGAACAAAATATCATAAAACATACAGTATATTGTGGCTACATTACATAATTGTCTTCTGAGGCTCCTTGGCCCAATAAATCTCTTTTTTTTTGCTTTTCCATTATGGATGTAATGCCCATTTGAGTAGTTAAATGTTGATGCAAAATGATGAGTCAGCAATGGGGTATTTGCTCTTCAGTTTTGAGGGAATAAGTCAAAAACGGAATGTTTAATAACACTGTGGTAATTGGTTATCTTATAAACTTCACGACAGCGCTCCAAAAATATCTAAGATAGATATGTAGAGGAAAAAATGTCCTTGTAAATGTGCACGTGTGAACACAGCAGACAATATATTTTTAAACCTATAAACATCCATGACATAAGAATATATATCAATGTTATGATTCCAACATTTCTGATAATATTAATTTGTGGAAAAATCATGATGTCAGTCTGTGATGTCAGAGAGTAACCCTCTCTGGGATCAGATGGATGGAAACTGGATCGGAGGTAAACACCTCACCGAGGCGCAGCCATCCATCCCTCCCTCAACACCAAGCAAGACTTTTTCAACCCTCTGTAGCAAATGAAGGCAAGCTGAAACAACGAGTGTAATGACTTATTCAATGTTCTGCATACAATATGGATGTTTAACATGTATGCATGGTTTGAGGTCCCTGAGACAGGAATCTTAATGATTGTGGTTATGCTGTGCTTCGTAGGCATTGGATGATTCATTGTGTATGCATAGCCAACTGCTACAGGCAACTGTAATGTGAAACACTTACCAGGGCTACCCCTCATTACTGATGCAGACAACTTTCCCTGGCCATAAAACATTTCTTGATATTCTTTTTCTCTTGTGTTGTCAGACAGCAAACCTTTAGCTTTGTGTTTTTTAAGTCATGTTAAGTAAAACCTCTAGCTGTAGTTTTTGCTGCTTTTTTATGAACTAGTCGATCATGCATAGGTCTTGGACTGTTGCTCGAAAAAAAAAGAATGGAAAAAGCATAAGTCTACTGGTTACACAAGCAAAAGCGACAACGATGCTCCAGTGACCATGTTACTTTTACCTCTACACTTAAAGTGTGACTACGAATTAATAAACAACACTTTAAGACATCTGCCAGTAAAACATCAACAATGATTACATTGCAGAGATTAAAAACAGATGCTTTTCTGCAGTCTTCTGAATTTAGATTTTCTTTATGTGATACATTTCATTTTGTGTTGGATCACTGGTGTTTCCGATAACACAAATTCAGCTTTTGGTAGATCATAGTACAAACCTACCTCCCTGTTTTTCCATTCGGCCAAAAAAGGCTTTCGCCTAGTCTTTTTCGGTTCGTTGTAGTGTATCGATGCAGGTATGATTTCAGATTCACTGTCGGCTTTCAAAATTTGAACACTTTCTCATACATTCCTCCCATCGTTCATTCTTTTGCGAGCTATTACCTTGAACAAAACGCAAACATGTTGCCAATCAGGTCTTGAAAGTTGAAAAAGCGAGAGCAACCCTCTTTGAAGTCTCCCCAACGAAAAACAGACAGTGTTTTTCCTCTGAACAAAACAGCTACAATACGGTGATGGGAAGCAGCACATGGACTAGTGAGGGAGGCCTCTAGTAATAAAGTTTGCTTACTTCATTGAGGAATGGGCTTGGGCTGCAGTGAGGTGGAAAACACTTCAGCTGTTGATACATCATCAACCTGCAGTGTGAGCAGTGTCGGTTTTTAGGAAACACGTTCTGTGTGCGGCTCAGACTGAAACACACATCAAATCGATCTGTACACATGATTGACACATTTGGTTCACAGAAAAAAATGGACTTTATGTGAACAATTTTGCTTCTGCTCTTTGCCACTCAGCCATGTGCAACTAGGACGGATACAGCTGTTTTTGGTCATAGAAACGTAATGCAGCGGGTCGAAAGTCATAATTAATCATTCCGACCTTTCTATTTATTTTAATCTTTACCTAATCCACATACATGCTGCTGTGCCTGTATAATGACATCATATGCACATGTATATGTCCTCCTTGTCATTGGACACTTCCCCTACTGAACCACTTTGTAACAGTATTTTTAAGATAGCAAACCTAATGCTCCTGAACGAATTTGATTATGTTAACTTCAAAAGTTGGTTAATCCAACTGATACTGCTCTTCCTTACAGTATCTATAAACGCACCATTTACCTACTATCAACAAAAGACCCAACATCAAGTAGGGTAAAATTCTTGAAAGAGACCTCAAATGGAGATCAGTTACACATCTGACCTCAGAACTTCAAATCAGTCCACTTTGCATCGACAGCATCTGCTTTAAACTCAATTGACAATCAACAAATGATCTCACTTTTGGTCAAATATTTTTCAGTGCAAAGTAGAAG